CAGGAGACATCAAGTACGACGAGGCGATGGGCTACCCCATGGTGCAGCACTGGCGGGTCAGGAGCAACCTCTACCGGGTGAAGCTCAGTTCCATCACCCTGTCTGCAGGTGAGGGGTTCTAGCAGCAGGGAGACCGCGTGTCTGCGTGGGCGGGTGGGTGGTCGTCTTCAGCCCCAAGGCACAGTCATGCCCAGCATCTCACCAGCATTCCCCACCTCCGGGCTCTGCTTGGGCAGTAACTCACGCTCCCAGCGCTGCTGCAGAGGAAGGCAGAGAGATTTTCCTCCTTTTCATGGGGGGAAACTGAGGCAAGGAGTTTGTGCGGCTCGGTTGCAAAACCAAGAGCTGGGGTCAGAGCCAGGATCAAGCTGATTAGCAACACTGTGGGGAGGATTTGGGGCGGGTGGCTGTGTGTGCATGTGTGTACAACAAACAGCAAGTTCTTGAAAAATGTTGTTTCAACAGGACCCGGAGCGCTTGTAAATGTGGGTCATATAGTGCAGGGAGTCGCAGACGAGGAAGGGGCGGGCAGGAGGATCCTGGAAACGTCAAAACATTTCACTTCCATGTTTTTATAGCTACACATTTTGTTTCAGAAATGCTGAAACATTTTGTTGTGACCTGAAATGTTTTGCCTTTTCATTTCAAAACAGCATTTGTTATGTGAAAAACAAGGTGTTTTTAAATGGGGAAAGGGGAAAAAAAAGATGTAGTGCAGACAGGCTGCACAGCCCCGGAACAAAATAACCTGCTTGGAGCTGAATGAAATACTTGGGTTCAGCTCAAAATTAATTCTTCAACCTTTTTTATTAAACCAGCCTTCTCCTTCAGTAAACCAAACAACCAGCCAGATAACCTCATTTTGGTGACAGTTATGACGTGTTTTCTTGCAGTTTATTTTCGGTTCCACCACTGAACCAAAACGATGAAGCTCTAAGTGATGCCAAGGCACCGTGTAGTCACCAGTGCCTCCAAGATATTTCATGTCCGCAGAGCAGTGAGGGTCCATGTCCTCGTCCCATCCCACAGTCCCCGCTGTCTGCCCGGGCGCTGCTGGAGGGATGCCCCGACCCTTGCGCACCCACGGAGCTGCCGTCAGCCCAGCCCCGTGTGCCCCTCTGGGCTGTCTCCAGCTTTCCTAAAAATAATTGTTGGTTGTGCAAGGTATTTACGCTGGGGCGACCTGCAGTGCAGTCCGACCTTACACCAGGAGAGCATCTCTGGTTATGGTTATGGCAAAGCAAAGGCCAAGCACATCCTTTGGGGAGAGTGTTGGTGACGTCCCAGCAGCCTAAAGAGCAGGCTGGAGTTGGCGGGAGGCTGTTTGTGTGTCTCTGGGGTGTGCACACGCGTGTTCATGTGCGCATCACTGTAAAATGATTTGAGACATTTCTTAGGGAGAGAAATCATAGAAGGATGCCAGTGCCGCAGCTCAGGTAAATAGCCGGTTGTGGGTTCCAAAGGATCATGTAGACCATGGAGATGAGAGGGCAGGAACTGCAGGAACTTCAGGGCTAAGGTGATGAGGGGACTGGAGCATCTCTCCTGTGAGGAAAGGCTGAGGGAGCTGGGCTTGTTCAGCCTGGAGAAGAGAAGGCTGAGAGGGGACCTTAGAAATGCCTCTAAATATCTGCAGGGTGGGTGTCAGGAGGATGGGGCCAGACTCTGTTCAGTGGTCCAGCCTGGCCGCGGTGCCGTGCAGCCTGCTCTGGGTGACCCTGCTTCGGCAGGGGGGTTGGACTGGGTGATCCCCAGAGGCCCCTTCAAACCCCCACCATGCTGGGATTCTGTGAACTGCGCTTTGCACCTGTGCAGGGACTTGTGTGCCTTGAGCAGGGGATCTTCTGGGCCTCCTTCCCCCCGGGCTGCAGCTGGCAGCGCTCCCCGGCCGACCTGCTGATCCCCTGCCTCCCTCCCACAGGCTTTGCGAACATCCTGAAGATCCTGACGAAGGACAGCAGCCGGGAGGAGCTGCTCTCCTTCATCCAGCAGTTTGGCTCTCACTACATCGCAGAGGCACTGTACGGCTCCGAGTTCAGCTGCACCATCCACTTCCCCAGCAAGAAGGTCCAGCAGCAGCTCTGGCTCCAGTACCAGAAAGGTGAGGAGTGCGGTGGGAATGGGCGGGAGCACAAATGCTGGTTATCGTTCATGCGCTTGCCATCCATCACCTGCTGTCCCCCGTGCACACACCATCACCGTGCCGGTTAGCAGGTGCAGACAGGAGACTCGTAGCAAACGGAGTGCCCAGCAGCAGGAGATGGTGGCACGTGTCCATGGGCAGCATCCCTAAGCCAGGTGGACTCGTCCTTCCTGCTCCTGCCCTTCAGCGGCTGCACTCGGGCTCCATCCTGCCCGGGGGGTCCCTCCTTACCACCCGCCCCAGGCCCCGCCGCGGTGGCCCCTGCGCGCTGGGGGTGCTCAGGGTTGGATGATGGAGATGTGACATAATTGAGCTGGCTCGGAATGGCTTGGTTTTATTGCTTGTGACAATGACAGTCTTTAAGGAAGTGCATTAAATCAATAGCAGACTCATTGTGCTACACCATAAATAACGAGACACATCATTAAACAGGGCAATAAACTTCAGGACTTCAAAGTAATACAATTAGGTTATGTTTATAAAAACTCCCGTATCACTGTAGCCTTCCATTTGCCAGTTCATCTCTACTCCAGGGAGCTGGGGGTATTCCCCAGCTCTGATTTTTTTCTGTTGAAAATCACCTGTGATGTTTCATGGGGCCCGTCATAGGGCTGATGGTAACGGGGGTCACCAAGGCTGCTGCATCCTGCCCCGCAGGCGCTGCCGAGAGCGGCCTCGCTTGGTGCAAGCCGACGGACGGAGGTGCACTCCCTCCCGCCTCCTCCGTCGCTTCCTGCTCGTTTTCTCTGTTTTCCCAGCGCAGCTCATCTTGTGAGCATATTTATAACACCCTGTACTCATTTATTTGGGTTTTAAATAGTGATAAATGAAGTTTGCTGCAGCAGTGCCCCTGTTTAGCCAGAGAAAGCGTCGTGGAGGTGTGTTGTGTACATACTGGCGATGTTATCAATCATTTGGGCATGCTTCCTGCAATCCCCGGGCAAACGTGTCCATGGGGAGCAGACCCGGCGTGGCTGCGTGGCCCCAGCGCCATCACCGCAGACGCAGGGTTTCTCCGGAGGTGCCGAGTGGGAATGAGAGGCGGATGCTGCGGTCTGAGCCCGGCGTGAGCATCAGCGCTGTTTCACAGGGCCAGAGGGGAGATGAACCACCCCAGCGCTCGATCCGGTGATGAAATATCTCCCATTTCTGAGCCCCCACCTTCCCCCCGGCCCGGGGCCGTGGTGCTTCCCAGGGCTCAGCCGCGGAGCCCCATGGTGGCACGTGGCCCAAAGGCCTCGCTGACATCGCAGTGCTGGGAGCATCCTTCCCCACCGCCGCGAAGCTCCACAGCACTCGTGGGACCCCAGGGATCCCCGGAGGTTTTGCATGTAACGCCGGGACACAAGCGTTTAAGTTCTGATCACGCAGCGTTTGGGGACCGGGTGCTGGCTCCGGCGTTGTTCTTTGTGTGTGGCTCCGTGTGCGGTGTCAGTTGCTGATGGGGTCGGTGAGGTTCAGCTTCAGGGCCATCAGTACTGCACAGGGACCTGTGTTGTCCTTAGCTCTTTGGTGGCCAGAAAATGCTCTTGGAAGGACAGCGAGGATGTTCAGGGCTCTTGCCGGTACTGGGGGAGATCGGCTCTGGACAGAGAACGTGTCACAGGAAACCCGGCGCTCTCTCCTGGAGAGACCCCAGTTTGCTGAGAGAAAGAGCTTGCTGTTTATGGGAGATGGATTTTATTCCCGGCTTCTCCACTGATGTGCTCTCATTTTGCCAGTGACATAAGGAGGATCTGAATAAACAGCTCGAGCTAGACAGCTCTGGATGCCTTCTCCACTCGGAAACAGCTCTGGCCCGCCGGGCTCCCTGCTGCTAGCCAGCCCGTTTCCGAACTGCTCAGAGCGCGCACATATACATCATCTCTAATAAATACCAAAGTGAGGCCAGGATAACTGTAATTTGTTAGCGAACAAAGCAGGTCAGAAGAGGAGGGGGAGAGCAGAGTCTCGAGCTAATGGGAACGGCACCAAATATGATAAAAATGCACATTGTGGCGTGTTTGCAGCATCACGCAAAATTATTTTAATGTTTTAATCAACTTCATAAATGGCGGGCTGCTCAGCCTGAAGAAAAGCAAAATGTTCCCTTTCCTCCTGCGAGCAGGTAAGGTGTGTGCTGGGGGGAGGCGAGGGAGCCTCCCGCCCTTGTTCCTAAGGATTTGCAGGAGTGAATCCTGGAAACGAGAGCCGGAGAGGCACGGAGGCATGGCTGCCCACCTGCGTGGCTGCGGCACCCCCAGCACCGCGCTCCTTCCCTGCTCAGCCTGAAGAAAAGCAAAATGTTCCCTTTCCTCCTGCGAGCAGGTAAGGTGTGTGCTGGGGGGAGGCGAGGGAGCCTCCCGCCCTTGTTCCTAAGGATTTGCAGGAGTGAATCCTGGAAACGAGAGCCGGAGAGGCACGGAGGCATGGCTGCCCACCTGCGTGGCTGCGGCACCCCCAGCACCGCGCTCCTTCCGGGGCAGACATGGAAACATCCCCCAGGCTCCCCTCTGGGAACCGCGTTAGCCCGTGAGTAACCAGACCAAACCCCCACTTTAGTTCATGCACAGTGATTAAAAGCCCGTTTTTGGGGCTGTTTGCTCTGGCTCTGTGCAGCCAAGTGACGCTTTAACTCATCGGAGCGGCTCCGAGCAGGGACCTTGAGATCGACCCGGCCACTGATCTCTGCCACGGGAGCCCGCATTGGTTTTCTACCCCCATCAAAGCCAGCGATTAATGCTGATGACGCCTCATTAAGTTCTTACCAGTTCTGTGAGCATCTTCGTTTGGCAGCTGGGGCAGTCGCACACCCCCGGCCACCTCCTGTTGCGTGTGCTGGGTCTGGCCGGGATGGAGTGAGCTGGCTTCGCCGCAGCCCCTGTAGTGCAGCGCGCTGATTTGTGGCTAAACCGGTGTTGGTAACACCCCGGGGTGCTGGCTGCTGCTGAGCAGGGCTTGCACAGCGCCTGGCCTTCCTCTCTTTCCCACTCTGTCCCCGCAGTGAGTAGACCAGGGTGGGCACGATGTTGGGAGGGGACACAGCTGACCCAAACTGGGCTATTCCACACCATATGATGCCGTGCTCAGTGATAAAACTGGAGGTGGAGGCTGGGGGTCAACCCACCAGAAAGACACTCACAAAATGTGCAGGAGGAAAGAGAGCGATCCCTCCATCCCGCAAATCCAGGGACCGCTTCAGTCCCTGTGAAAGGTTTGTCAGAGACCTGGCTGCTCTGCGGCCCCTTGGTCTGGCTGGACAAGGAGGAGGAGGAGGAGGAGAGCTTGGTTAGGGGGAGGGAAGAGCTGCTCTGATAGCAAAATCTGTCAGCCCCAGTGGGATTTTCCCCAAGAGCTGTTCTAGCTCGCTCCTTCCCACTGCGATGCACAAAATGCAGAACACATGTCTGTAAGGTGCTCCGGCGCTCGGAGAAAGTGGAGACGTTATCAGCGGTGATGCGGAGGGTCTCGTCTCGTCAAGCGTTTGAGTGACAACTCT